AAACATAGGAAAACCCACAAAGCAATTACCAATGCCAATTAAAAAACATACTTTCCTTTTTAATAAGCTTATTATTTTCACGGCCAGATAAAACACCATTCTAATATGTACTTAATGCATTATTGCGAAACTCGATCCCCTGCTTAAAGTCCTGACATATCTGAATAAACTAAAACAAGAAACAGAATTGCTTGGGCCCCAAATATTAGAACAAATCCTTTTTAATAACCAGTTTGTCTGCTTATTAAATTGTTTTATTGATTTTTCTGTGCATCATTATTGTGGTAACAGTTCATCCATTGAAATATAAAATAATGTGTGCACTTATACAGAAATAAAAAAATCATGAAATATTATACACAGAACACAAAAGTTGTACCACTTTATTAAAGGATGTAAAAGGATATTTAGAGAAAAGGTTTCTTTTTACATTTTACATTGTTTGATTATGCAGACTGACAGTCATATGTCACTGTCTATGAAATCACAGTATCACTGGTGTTGCTGCTGACAGTTCTGACTGTTGCTAGGTGATGATGTCACAATGGAAGAACACAATGACATCACTCCAGCGGCTCTGATGGACAGACAGCAGATGTAGATGAAGACATCTGGAACATCAGAATCTGAGACATAAAAAATATCAAATAGATTCAAAACCATTTTTGTAGCCATTGTATTTAATGTTATAGCCAATTCTCAATATCAATTATTTCTAACCTCATTTTTGTTTTCTTTTTGGTTTTGAAATGAGATTCTGATGAAATACCTGTTGAATCATAATTCACATTCTTATAATCTGAATTCATTTCATTATACGTCAAGTAATTAGATATTTTACTCACCACATCCACAGAGCCACTATTATGAGAAACTGAGGTAAAAACACCAGCAGAGTGACTGTATAATGGCTGAACGCTGTGCTGTCCACTGGATCTTCACAACACAAATAAGTGAATCAAGACTATCAGAGAAACCACCTGAACTCATCAAACATTTCACACTGAAGCACATGTATCATGAGAGATGTGTTACCTCCTACAGCACAGGAATACTGGTGAAGCTCTTCATTGCTGACTGAGTCCAGGTACAGCTTGTTATCTTTAGTGAATCCATCCGTTACCTGTCGTCCGTTCTTGTACCAGATGTAAGTATGTTTGTCGTTCAGAGTGCATTTAGTTGAACAGCTTAATATCACTTCCTGTCCCTCTGATACAACAGATGGGCTGCTTTTCACCTGAGCATCTGAAAAAAAATAGCCTATTAGAAATTATACAGGAAAAATTTTAAATGTAATCAGTTTATCATGATGAGTTACCTGTAACAGTAAGAATGACTCCAGGTGATCCAGAGTATTGCTCTAAGTCAGTGATGAGCCTGAATCGATATTCTCCAGAGTCGCTGATCTTGAGCTCTTTGATTCTCAGTTTGTTCCCCACATACTCCACACGACCAGCAAACTGATGCTCCTCACGCAGATCCTTAAAGTCACCAGGCTGAACGTAACGCCAGAATGTTTCATATACTGTATAACCAGAGGGATGTGAGTATGTGCAGGAAATGTCTACTGTTGAGCCCACCAAAGCACAGACTCTTCTAGAGGTGTAAATCACATCCCAGCAGCCACTCTTAGAAATGCCTGAAAGAGACAGATTACTGCTGTGAAACTCACAATTAAGGTCTGTTCACGTCAAGATGAATGTTTCTAATAAAAATTCAGTGTGATAATAAGCATTTTAATTTGACTCAATGGCTGTTAATGGGAGATCTCTTTCCCACCCATCCCGCTCTGAATAAACAGTCCAACCAGTAAGATTTGTGCTTTTGGTCACGTAAACGGAGCTGCTTTCATGACTGAACAAATCCATTCAGTCAGATTGAGAGGCAAAACGCCCTGCAACTTGGTACTAGTAGGGGAAAGTGTGAAAACAAAAGTAAAACAAACGATTGTCTGTTTAAATTAAAGGCCACTTGAC